TCCTGAATCCTGCATATCTATTAATAGAAAAAAGAGTGTGTTTAAAGATATGAAGAAAAAGAAGATAAGATAGAAAAAAGGATCAAAAGAATTTTTAACAAGGTTGGAAATTGATCGACACACATGGGCGTCATCTTTCACACCATTATATTGGTAAAAGGGGAACTCATTAGCAAAACTAATAAATTATATAAAACCTACAGTATGATGGTTTTATTAAAATCTGTATTGTACATTATTTTGCAAAATCTTTTGAGTTTGGTGTACTTATATATTTTTATAAAATAATGAACTTCTGAAAAATAAATCCAAGCAACACGGGCTGCTAAAATGACTATTTCAGACTTACTAGAAAAAAAGAGAAGGCTATAAAATTTATATAGGTTAATATCAGGGAGAAATAATGAATTTTTTTCCATTCATATTTGGGAAGAGAAATTACCTTGTCCATATTCCAGAAGGAAAATGACATTCTGGTTTGACTACTGTTGAATTTCGAAAGAACTAATTTTAAATGGAACAGCATGCAGAAATAGGGCGAACAATGCACTGGTTTTAAGAAATGACAGACATAGATTTAACAATAGGAAAAAGCCCTCAGAGGGAAAAACTGAATTCAGCAATACTGTTACGCAAAAGGACATAATCAAATCAACAGTTTTGCTTTTTACAAGTTATTATTGAGAACATTCATGATGATATAAAAGAAAGGTAAGATATAGAAATTATTAGTACATCTGTTCATATGGATAAATAGTGAGTTTGTTTGATGACAAAAGTAAATATATTCCTACAAATGTGTAGACCTAAATAATGAGTTTTTCATCAACTGTACTAAAATAAAACTGTATAGAAAAACTTGCTTGCAAAGCAAATGACACATAGCAAGTTTCTGAACAAAAACCGGCAGTGAATTGGATGGGTTCTTATTTCAAGTTCGTATTTGTACATTGTCTTCTGGTGTAATCAAAAATACCGCAAATGCCATCTGTCTTCTGAGCTGATATCAGTACTTGCCAGGCAGTGACTGTCACCCCAAGAGTTGGTTCTATTGTGACTGAAGCCAGATTTTCCTAAAAGCCTTGGAGATTACAGTGGAAAGGTGGACTTTGCATGGTTTTCTATTAATTGTGAAGCAATTGTTAGAGACCCGCAGGTCTTGAAAACTTTCTAGACCACCCACCACCTTCTTGATATTGGCAAAGACACTGCGGTTGGTCCTCTCTGTCTCCATCCGTTCCTGGGAGATAGAGATCACATAAAATAAATCTACCCTTAGAATTACTGAAAAGACTAGTTTTATGTCTTATGGGTATCCACTGAACTCACTTGAATTTTATTCATGTCATGTAAATTAGTGATTCAGATCAATGATAAAAACTAGATAGTAATACACATTAAGACTAAAAAATGATAGGTCACGAGTCTGTAGACATCTTGATGCCCTTCACTGTCTACATTAAAGGCCTTTCATAGTCTTCTTCCTTCCTGGAAAAATTCATTCTTCAGCCATTGATGGAACAGAGCAAAGATGGCATCGGAGGCGTTTGTGAGTTGGGGCAGGTGGCAGTGGCCCAGAGCCCAAGCAGGGTGAAGATGGGTGTCAAAGACCTACCAAGTGAGGGGGCTTGGGTGGGGATTCAGCCTCTTCAGGGAAGGAGGAGGCATATTCAGAGGAAGAAAAGCAGCTCAAGCTGGACAAGCAGTGAGCCCAAGGGTAGGGTGACCCAGTAGGCAGTCGGAACAGCGACATTTCAATGAGCAGTGAGCACATCAAGCACTCAAATCCTGGCTTTTAACTATGATTTTCCATGCAAAGGAACCAGGACTCCTTGAAGAAATGACTAATGTCAGGGGAAAGGCAGGGAAAACACTGGACAGGGCATTTTGTGCCAAAAAGCAAGGACACATTGAAAGAATGTCAAAAGGAAACAGAAGTCAGCTAAGTAGGCATCTCTTGCCAAATGTGGGGCAATTTGACCATTAAAATAGGATAGTAATGGATTAGAAGCCATTAAATGAAAATGGAAATCCATTTAGCTATAAATTCATGAATAAATTGAAAATTTGAAGATCAGGGTACTTATATAAGTTTCAAGGTTCTCCTACAAAGTCATTAGTTTCTAAGAAGGGGAGACAGTGGAGTATCCTTACAGACACCACTTCCCCCAAGAGACCAAGGTCAACATCAGCAGGAATGGGCTGACTAGAAATCACTTGTCATCTAATAGAATTAAGTGAGAAGAACATATTAGCACTTCTGAAATGTTCTTGCTAGAATTGCGCCATCTGACTCTAATCAAGAAGCAACATCAAATGAAGCCAAATGGAGGGACACATGATGAAGTAACTGGTCTGCAATTTTCTAAAGTGTTTGGCTAGTCAAGGAAAGATTGATGAGACTAAGGGATACAGCAACCACATACGTGATTACACACTGAATCTTCAGGTTGTAGAGAATGTTCTTGGGAAAATAGGCAAAACTTGAACAGAATCTGAAAATTAGGTGGTAGCATTATCATAAAGGATCACTGTTAATTTCCTGCCCTGAGGGATATTTGTGATTATATAGAATATTCTTGTTTAGAGGAAATATACACTTAAGCATCCATGGGCAGTAGGCATCAGTTCAGTAACTAACTTCCAAATGGTTAAGAAAACTAAAATGTCAAAAGCTTGCAGCCATTTTTCCCCCTCAGCCCCTGATGAGGGGGTGGAGTTTGGGAGGCCCTGCCTTCTCCTGTTGAGTTGGCTATGAGCACCACCCACTGGCTCATACTCACTGTTCCTCTTACACTATCATCCATGTTTCCCTGAAATCTGTTTTTCAGTCTGAAGTCAGGATCACTGTTCTAAAACAAATCTACCTTCACAGCTCCCCCACTTCAAAACCTCCAGAGACTCCCACTCCCTCAAATAAAATTTAAAATATTTAATATCATTTCTGACATCCTTCACAACTTCTCTCCTGCTTACCTCTTTGGGAGACTGAGGATCATCCACATATTCTACCTCTGTATCCCCAACCTTTCCACCCACACCAACCCATAGCCCCCCCCCCCCACCAATATACGTAATTACATACTTGTAATTTCTGGAATGTGTAGCTCATCCCGGGAATTTTGCAAATATCTAGTTCTGATTAGAACAATCTTTCCTTACTTCTTTGCTTGGATACATTCTTCTCATCCATTGTGTTTCAGTTTGGATGTTATTTCCCTTAGAAAGTTTTTTGAACTTCCCCTCCAAGACCTCCAGTAATGTGCCCTTGTGGTATAGTACTTACCCTTTGTCATGGGATTCCCTGTTGTCTTGGGTTACTAGGATTTCAGCTTCTCAGGGAGGGGCAGAGTCTCTTTCTCTTCCTAGTTTATTCGTTTGAATAGAGAAGATGCACTTGATGAATGTTTGTTAATGAATGAATGAATGGTTCACTTTAAAAGGGGGGCGGATGATATAATGCTAGCAAAAAAAAAAAATTATGGTTAAATCTTTTTAAGTTAAAAAAATGAGCCTATGTTCAGAAAAACCAAATAATTCAAATGCAGCTAAACTGTATCAAAATTGGTGGTCAGGACTTCCTATTTTGCACAATAATATTAGTGATTGTTGCTATAATGGGAGAGACGTGAAGCTGATGAGGATGGAGAGTTGGAAGAGACATTGCTTAAATAATATTTTGCAAATATATTTAGGGGTTTTTTTCCTTACTGTGAGGAATGAAAGTACCTATTCAGAAAAGGGGGAAAATAAGTTCTACTTTTTAACAGCATTTACTGAACCGTGATGGAGTAATAATGGAAAGAAAACAAGAGTTTATTACTCTTACCAGAGCAGATTTAGGGTTTCAACATCCTCCTGTTTTCCCTGCCTACCCAGAGTCCCTTCTGGACCCGACAGCCCTGCGCCAGGTGCTGGCAGCTTACACATGAGTCGCTCTAGCTCACATTTCCCTGAAATCTAATTTCAAGATATGCAATTCACTCATCTTGTGTTCACAATGCACAAAGCACGGCCCTATAAATACTTGCCGAATAAACAATGAGTGAGAGTAGTGGTCTCTTGATCCGGGTCTGGAAGGGTCCTTTCCATGCTGTTCTTTTCTTATCGTACCCTTTCTCTTATGAGATTGCGGGATATTTAGCTGCTTGTCATTATTACCACTCTGTAATTTCACAGTCCTATTACATGGTCGATGGTAGGACAGCATTTTAATGAGAAACTCTTAGATTCAGGCTCAATTCTGTCTGCTTGGGCAGAAGCACAAGTATCAGAAAGACGTTGCCTCATATTGGTTCTGTTACTTATGAAATTGAAGCCAAGTAACTTCCTTGCTTTTTCTTTTATCACTAAACCTGCCATTTTCTGCTTTCTCCTGAAGTTCACAAAACCTGCTGCCCACCCAGGGTCCTTGCCTGTTTTCCTTCCTATCCCACTGACTGCTCATGACAGCGAAATTGCCTAAGACTGAAAGAAGCTCAGCTCCCAGGTCTGCTGGCCCAGAGCAGGTGGCAGTCCCTGGCACACCTCCACAGATGCAAGGTCACCCCCACTCTGGTGATGCTTTTCCTCATAACCCGGGGGCACATGGAACCCAGCTGAGGAGCCAGAGGTTGGACCAGCACTTTTCCAGCGGGAACGCTGGCTCTGGTCTTCCTCACAGATGTAATTTTCAGCCTTTCTAAATGAGTCAAGTACGTTTGCGGGAAGAAGGCCACCATGTTACTTGATTCAGTTCCCAGCATCATAAACTTCTGATAAGGGAGTGCCTAGCGGAGAGTAAGCCTGTAATTGACCTTAATTCGTTAACTAAAAGTGGTTTATTTATTTATTTTTTTTGCCTAAGGAAATGTCATCTCAGGAGATTGTCTTGAAAAGTAGAAGCTCAAACTACACAAATGTGTCAAAGAGGCAAACAGCCACATAGAGATGTTCCTGGCCCCAACAGTGAGCTGATGGCACTGTTTACGTCACTGACTATTTCCTGTTTGGTTCCACAGGCTCATGGCACACCTGATGCTCCACCAGGCCGTCCAGGCCTGACTCGCTCTACCTAACTCACCTGCCCTCTGGTCTTGTCACATCTTCCTGGAGCTGAGCCACCGAAGGGGAGGTAAATGTCCAAGTTTTAATTCTTTTTCTGCTCATATTCATGCTTTACGTATTTCTTTTGCCCTTCCTGCATCTTAAGCACTGTTACAGAGGCTAGAGAGATGCAGTGAACTCTAAATTTCAGTGCGTGACCACGGAGGGACTCTGAAGACAGGTGATTAATAATGAGGTAGAGAAAATGCCAGGTAGAGAGAGTGCCACATAGTTAGTGTATGTAAAAAGGGGATCTGATGACAATGACAGAGGGTTTGGGGGGGAGGCTGGGGAGGCTGCCTGAGCAGAGGACTTCAGCTCACGCTAATGAAAGGTGTCGGGGGAGGCAGCCACACAGAGAGTGGGGGTTCCCCACACTGACAGGAAGGCACTGAGGACCTGAGAGGCAGGAATATAAAGGGAGACGAATTGGAGGCCTAAGAGGGAAGGGGTTGAAGAAAGGCCTTATAAAGCAGGAAGAGAACTTGTCTTGATTCTCAGGTTCTGAAGACCCGGAGGCCTGGCTGCTGGGGGAGGCTGGAGCAGAGGGAAGAAGAGGGGCAGCCAGGGGACCAGTGTGCAAGAGGGTGGTTGGCCACAGGGATGGCGATAACAAGCCAGCCCGGGACACATTTTAGCAGCAATCGGAACAGCTCTTTTTTTAAATTATTTTTTTGTAATTTTATATATTTTTTGCATCATTTTTCACTTTTGCACAATGTATGCATTTTCATCTTGGTTATAGTCGCTGTACAATTCCCACCGCCTTTGTTCTGATCCTACTCCCTCCTCCACCCCCCCACCCCGTAGTGTGTCTCTGGTTTATAGTTGCTTGTTGATTTTGATTTTTACTTTATTAGAATTAGTCTTTTTCCTGGTCCCTTATTTAGGTTTTCTAGATTCCTGCTGTGAGTGAGACCATCCGGTATTTTTCTTTTTCTTTCTGGCTTATTTTGCTGAGCATGATCCCTTCCAGCGCCATCCATGTTGCTGCAAATTGCATGTGTTTATCTTTTTTGAATGCTGAGTAATAGTCCATGGTATATATGTACCACATCTTCTTGATCCAGTCATCTATTTTTTGGCATTTGGACAGCTCGTAATCAAGGTGGGGCATGGATGGAATGGAGGGAGCAGAATAAATCCAGAGCGGCCTCTAGACTTTCGCTTCCTTTCCCACCTCTCGCCATTGTCTGTGGCCTTGAGAACCTGGGAAGGATTCTGCCCACGAGTAAACAGGCATCTGACGTTCCAGGAAATAAGTACAAGAAGGTCTTCAAGACCGGGGGCCTGGGAGCCAGTTTTTTTCATATTTCCCTCTAGACTGGGAGAGGGGCCTCCCCGGTGGCGCAGCGGTTGAGCGCTGGGTTGCGAAGCTGCCCGCGGCCTCTGCGGCGCCGGTTCGATCCCTGGCTGCTCCCCGGCCACCAGAGGAGGGTCCCACATGGCGCGCAGACCTCTCCTGCCGCCCGCTGCTCCCCTCAGCAGTGTACTTCGGTCCTTCTGCCTGGTCTGCTCCCCGCTCTGGCTCTGGTGAATTCTCTCACCCTCCCGCGCTTCTGACTGTACCCAGTGCATGTATAAACAAAAACAAAACAAAACAAACCAGCAAACAAATAAATAAAGCATGCCTCTATAAAAAAAAAAAAAAAAAAAAAAAAAAAAAAAAAAAAAAAAAAACATTTCTTATAGACTGGGAGAGGATGTGATTATTTCTAGTCCTTGAAGTTCATTTTAGGAAAACACTTTTGGTTAACATAGAAATCACTACAAGCAATTACTAAGAACCTCTTTATGAAAGTTGTGTTGTATGGCAAACTTCTCATGTTTCATCTTAAAACAGACTAAATTCACTCTGTGTCCTCAGCTCTTGCTATTAAGGAAAGAAATATGATGAACCTTTGTTTGGGGGGTTAAGCACTCCTATGGTTACAGTGTGGTGGTAGAAAATGTTCTCTCCAGCACGTTATTAGTTATTCCATTTCTTGATAAAACAGACATTTAAGAACCGGGCAGAGTCTGGAGTGCAGTGGGGTGGGGAACCCAAACTCTGTGAAATGCTTAACCTTTTAACATAGTTCAACAAAGTTTAGATTTCTGGCAAAACGCCTAGACTTTGTAAGATTGTGCATGGTTGCAAAATCCGACAAGACCCTAGTGCTTAAATTATTCTGGCTCAAAAACCGAGACAGTGTGAGGAGAGCAGGGAAAAAGAACACACCCTGGGCTCTCCAGCTGGGTTCAGGGCACAGACTAAGTCATTTCGGAAAAGGATGTTTGGGGGTGGGTGCAGTGTCACTGATTACAAACTATATCTCCTGCAGCACATCAAATGTGCTGTTAGAAAGCCAAATTATCTCTAAAGGGAAGGTAAATTCTGCATTCAAGGTAAAGGACCTTAAGAGCACATGACAAACCAAATACATCACAGATAAGCAAGGATTGTTGATTTCACAGAATCACAGGGACTGTCCTCACAGAGAGGCACAGCAGAGACCAGTTAGATGTCACATTTCAAGCATTTATTCCAGAAAGAGTTGTCTCTTTCCAGAAATGCACATACAGGTTGGCTGCGAGTATCAGCAGCAGCTTCTTAGAGCCAAAGAAAATGGGGAATGCATAACTCGTCAGCATAACTCTAATGTCATTACTCCCTGCCTTTGTTTGGTGTGCGTGGACATATGGGTTGAGTTGAATTCCCTGGGAGTTTCAGGAAAATTGTTCACAACCTATGGGTCATTTGAAAATATGAAAATATACAATATCATTTTTAAAACAATTACAGGTGAACGCAGTATGGTGTCTCCCATGTAAGGTCCTAAAAGCACTAATTCTGAAAGGTGGACAGCAGAGACAAGGGACTGAGATTAAGAAGCATCTGCACGTTACACAGATTTCTATAGCATAGTATTTCTACTGTTTTAAAGCCTGCAATAGATTTATATATATATTGTGAAGTTCTAGAAGGGGGCAGAGGAGTCAGTTTTTCAAATATGTTTGATCACAAAACCCTCCCTATTTCTGCCGCAACCCTCTGTGTTGTTTGTTTGTTTGTTTTTGGTGTCATATATCATCAAATGTGTGTTCTGAGGCACACACACTAGTAAATACTAGTTTAATACAACTAGTTTAATAGAATGTCTGCAAAGTGGACCTGTGTTCACATATGGCTCTAAAAACAGTGCAATAGGACCCAACTAAGAAAAAAAAACAAATGAAGTAATAAATCACAATAATTGCATTTGGCAATAAATAGGTTATAAGAGATAAAATGCTTTTACCTACAGAAAAATACAACCACATTGACTTAAATAAATAAAGGAAACTGATGATTTTTTAAAAATTTATTTCGGCACCTTAAAATGTTAGATCCAAGATTATGGCATTTCTCTTGGCTGTTCTCTCATACTTGCAATGTAGCTGCTGTGGCTCTGACTGTCACATCTGCATCCAAGGCAGGAAAAAATAAGAGAAAGAGAAAGGGCTTGGGAAAGGCTGTTCTTTTAATCCAGAAGATAAAATATTTTCAGCAACTCCACAGCATGGTGGTGAATATATCCAATTAGGTAGAACTCTGTCATGTAGCAAAGAACTATAAATGAGATTAAATTGGAATTTTATGTTGATCAACTGCACATTTTTGGTGACTTTAAGTAGTAACAAGACAGAAGTAAGAAAAGGAGTTTGGAATAATTTATGTGTATTTTTACCATAGAAATATGAAGGTGGAATGTGTTGTTGTAGATTAATCCTTCAGGCAAAACTTTTGAAGTGTCTGTGCCCTTCATTTCCTTTTAAAGATTTATTTATTTATGCACACAAGAACTGGGGTACAGGCCAGAGGTGTGGGGGAGTGAGATGATTCACCAGAGAGAAGGGGGAACAGAACAGGCAGACTGACGAAATACACTGCTGAGGGGAGCAGCGGGCGAGACTGGAGAGGTCTGCTGTGCTATGTGGGGAGCTCCCAGGTTGGCTGGGAATCAAACTCGTGCTGCAGAGGCTGAGAATAGCTCTTCAGTGCTGTGCTTAAACCTTTGCGCCACCAGGGAGGCCCAGTGTCTGTGCCCTTAAAAAAAAAAAAAAAGAAAAAAAAAAAGGATGTACTATCCTACCTTCTTTGGCTGTCTCAAGAAAAATGTACTCTCTTCAAAAAATACACACACACAGGTTTAAAGCAGGATCAGCCACAGACTGTCCCTCGATCCCTGGAAACTCTGGCTAGTGGCTTGTCATCAGATCCAGGTCAGTCACTTGCCAGAGGACAGAATGTTCTGGGGCCTTTCCTCAAGTTACTAGTAGACTTTATTTTTTTACTAGATTGGATCTTTCAAGACCTAATCCAGCCCATCGCTTAAAACATGAAAGTGTTTAGAGACCGCTAAAATAATTGCCACAGTTTTTACTCTCAGGGATCCTAATCGGGGTACATATGCACTAGGAAACAAAGTGGCTCCGTTTGCTTGTGAAAGATCCTCTGGTAGCAGCAGCGGTGCAACACTGTTGTCCGCAGAATGGAATTTATTAAGAGGAACGCCCAGGAGGAATCCCACAGAAGGGCCTCTGACTTTTCATCTGTGAACTACCAAAAAGGAACTTTTGCAGTCAAATGATGTCTTCTAAACTGGCAATTACGTGGGCCTCTAATTCATGGTATAACCACGGCCCCCTGGCGTTCCCCTGACACAGAAACTCCAAGCGCGTGCATTCTCCTGGCATGTTTGTTTTTTCATTAAAAAAGTAATTTAATCCTCATTACTTTGAAAAACAGAGAAAAATACTACTCTGAAGCCAAGACTCCTAAACATGACCGTGAGTTGATGGTGCAGCCTAGTGTCCTGCTGCTGTGCGAGTAACTGGGCTGTTTCCAGTTTTTTCTCCAAGTGTTTTGAACCTGTATCATCCTTCTCTGTGTGGCAGTAGTTCTTGCCCATCGACACAAAAACTATTCTGTTAATATTTTGAATTCTTCAATATATTGTATTGATGACCTTCCAACATACGTGCAAAAAGTCTTGGGGGTGATAA